TTTCTAATATTCACTTATAAGTGAGTTTATACCACGTGTGTCTTTCTTCTTCTGGGATACCTTACTCAGGATAATCTTTTCTAGTTACCACATTTTCTGGCAAATTTAATAATTTACTTGTTTTTAATTGCTGAATAGTAATCTATTGTGTAAATGTACCACAATTTCTGTATCCGTTCCTCAGTTAAGGGATATATGGGCTGTTTCCACATTTTGGCTATTACAAATCAAGCTGCCATGAACATGTTTGAGCAAATGTCCCTGTTACATACTTGAGCAATTTTGGATTTATAGCAAGGTGGTAAAGCTGGATCTTGAGGTAGCACAATTCCTAATTATTTAAGAGAGCACCAGAATGATTTCCAAAGTGGTTGTACATGTTTACATTCCCACCAACAGCAGAGGAGGGTTCTTTTTCTCCACATCCTATGAAGCATGTATTGTCACTTGAAATTATGATCTTAGCCATTGTGATATGTGTATGGTGAAAATTTCATTTGTTTTGACTTGCATTTCCCTGATGACTAAGGATCTTGATCATTTCTTTAAGTGTTTCTCTGCCATCTGATATTCTTCTATTGAGACTTCTCTGGTTAGATCTGTGCCCCATTTTAAATTGGGTTACTAGATTTGTTGCTTTTTAAATTCTTAGAAGAATAAGTGTGGAAGTGTCTTGAACTCATTGGCATAGGAGACACCTTCCTGAACAGAACACCAACAGCACAGGCTCTAAGATCAACAATTACTAAATGGGGCCTCATGAAACTCAAAAAGTGCTGTAAAGCAAAGGACACTGTCATCAGAACAAAAGGGCAGGATCCAGACTGGGAAAGGAACTTCACATACCCTGACATATCTGACAGAGAGCTAATATCCAGAATATTTAAAGAAAACAAGTTGTTTAGTTATTTCATAATGTCCCTTTCTTTTTTTAATCAAATTTTTACTTTTTATATTACTTAGTCTTTTTTCACTTTGTATCCTAGCTGTATTCCCTTTCCTCAATCCCTCACAATGCCATCCTCCCTTCTTCATCTCTTCTCATGCCACTCTCCAAGTCCACTGATAGGGAAGGTCCTCCTCCCCTTCCATGTGACATTAGCTTATCAGGTCTTATCAATACATATTGCATTGTCCTCCTCTGTGGTCTGGCAAGGCTGCTACCCTCTGAGGTTGGGAGGGGGTGTTCCAAGAGAGTGCCCTGAGTTCATGTCAAGTACCTTGGTGTCACTCTAACCAAGCAAGTGAAAGAAATATTTGAAAATGAAAGCAGTGCTAAGAGGAAAATTCATAGCACTAAGTGCCTTCAGGAAGAAAATTGAAACATCTAATACAAGCAACTTAAGGGCTCATATAAAAGCATTAGATAAAAAGAAAAGAAACAGACACACCGAGCAGGAGAGACAACTGGAAATATTCAAGGTCAGGGCTGAAGTCAATCAATTAGAAACAAATAAAATAATTCAAAGAATCAATGAAACCAAGAAATGGTTCTTTGAGAAAATCAACAAGATAGACAAACCCTTAGCCAACTAAGTAAAAGGCAGTGAGGAACTATTCAAATGGGCAAAATCAAACAGAAAAAGGGGGACATAACAAAAAACACTGAGGAAATCCAAAGAATCATTAGGTCTTACTACAAAAGCTTATATGTCACAAAATTTGAAAATCTAAATGAAATGGACAATTTTCTTGATAGATTCTACTTACCAATATTAAATCACCATCAGGTAAATAGATTGAATAGCCCTATATCCCCTAAGGAAATAGAAGCAGTCTTCAACAGTCTCCCTTCCAAAAGAAGCTCAGGGCCAAATGGTTTCAGTGCAGAACTCTATCAGACCTTCTAAGAAGAGCTAACTCCAACTGTCTGAAAACTATTCCACAAAATAGAAACAGAAGGAGCACTACCAAACTCATTCTGTGAAGCCACACACAGTCACCTTGATACTTGAACCCCAGGAAGACCCAACAAATAAAGAGAACTTCAGGCCAATCTTCATTATGTACATTGATGTAAAAATATTCAACAAAATACTTGCAAACCGAATACAAGAACACATCAAAGATATCATCCACTATGACCAAGTAAGCTTCATCACAGTTATGCAGGGGTGGTTCAATATACAGAAATCGATCCATGTGATCCACCATATTAACAAACTGATAGAAAAAAAACAAATGATAATCTCCTTAGATGCTGAAAAAGCATTTGACAAAATCCAACATCCATTCATGTTTAAAGTCTTGGAGAGATCAGGGATAAAAGGCACATATCTAAACATAGTAAAGGCAATATACAGCAAACTATAGCCAACATCAACCTAAACCGAGAGAAACTTAAAACAATCCCAGTGAATTCAGGGTCAAGGCAAGGCTGCCCACCCTCTCCATATCTCTTCAACATAGTTCTTGAAGTCCTTACTAGAGCAATAACAGTTGAAGGAGATAAAGTGGATACAAATTGGAAAGGAAGAAGTCAAATTATCACTATTTGCAGATGATATGATAGTTTGCCTGAGAGACCCCAAAAATTCTACCAGGGAACTCCTACAGCTGATAAACACCTTCAGCAAAGTGGCCGGATACAAATTTTAACTCAAAAATATTAATAGCCCTCTTGTATAGAAAAGACAAAAGGGTTGAGAAAGAAATCTGGAAACAACACTCTTCACAATAGCCACAAATGACATAAAGTACCTTGGTGTAACCCTAATCAAGCAAGTCAAAGATTTGTATGAAAAAAAATTTCAAGCCTTTGAAGAAAGAATTAGCAGAAGATATCAGAAGATGGAAAGATCTCCCATGCTCATTGCTTGGCAGGATTAATACAGTAAAAATGGCCATCTGACCAAAAGAAATCTACAGATTCAATGCAATTTCCATCAAATTAGCAATACAATTATTTACAGACCTGGAAAGAAAAATTCTCAACTTCATATGGAATAACAAGAAGCCCATCAATTCCAAAACAATCCTCTACAATAAAAGATCTTCAGGAGGTATCTCTATCCCTGATATTAAGCTGTACTACAGAGCAATGGTAATAAAAAATGCATTGTACTGGCATAGAAACAGAATGGTGGATCAATGGAACTGAACAGAAGACCCAGAAATAAACCCACACACATATGGACACTTGGTCTTTGACAAAGATGCCAAAACCATACAATGGAAAAAAGATAGCACCTTCAACAAATGGTGCTGGTCTAACTGGATGTCTACATGTAGAAAAATGAAAATAGATCCATACTTATCACCCTGCACAAAACTAAAGTCCAAGTGAATCAAAGACCTCAACATAAAAACAGACACATTAAATCAGTAGAAGGTAAAGTTTGGAAGAGCCTATAAATCATTGGTACGGGAGACAACTTCCTGATCCGAACACCAACAGCACAGGCTCTAAGAGCAACAATCAATAAATGGGACCTCATGAACCTGAGAAACTTCTGTAAAGCAAAGGACACTGTCATCAAAACAAAACAAATGCCTACAGAATGGGAAAGAATCTTCACCACCCTTTATCTGACAGAGGGCTAATATCCAGTATATATACAGAACTAAAGCTGAAAATCAACAAACCATGTCATCCAGTTAAAAAATGCGGAACAGAGCTAAACAGAGATTTCTCAATAGGGTAATATCAAAAAACAGAGAAACATTTAAAGAAATGCTCAACCTCATGAGCCATTAGGGAAATGCAAATCAAAACGACCTTGATATTTGACCTTACCCCCATCAGAATGGCCAAGATCAAAAACATAAGTGAGAACACATGCTGGAGTGGTTGTGGAGAAAGGGAAACCCTCCTCCACTGCTGGTGGGAATGTAAACTTGTACAACCACTCTGGAAAGCAATCTGGCGCATTCTCAGACAACTAGGAATAGTGCTTCCTCAAGATCCAGCCATACCACTCCTAGGCATATACCCAAAAGAGGCTCAAGTACACAGTAAGGACATTTGCTCATCCATGTTTGTAGCAGCTTTATTTGTAATAGCCAGAAGCTGGAAACAACCCAGAGGCCCCTTAACTGAAGAATGGATAGAGAAATTGTGGTTCATCTACACAATGGAATATTACTCAGCAATGAAAAACAAGGAAATCATGAAATGATGGGAACTGGAAAAGACCATTCTGAGTGAGCTGTCCCATAAAAAGACAGACACACAAGGTATATACTCACTCATATAGACATAGAATATAGGATAAACCTACTGAAATCTGTACACCTAAAGAAACTAGGAGTACAGAATCTAGAGGAAGGACTCTGGCTAAAATGTTCAATCCCCATTGAGAAAGACAAAGAGGATGGATATCAGAAGAAGAAGAAAACAGGATACAAGTTAGGAGCCTCCCACAGAGGGCCTCTGAAAGGCTCTGCCCTGAACACTATCAAAGCAGATGTTGAGACTTAAAACAATTTTTAGTTTTTCAAAATTAATTCGTTAGAAATTCGATGCATAAATCGAGTCTATCTTAATCATATCTACTTCATGTGTCTTCCCTCCAAGTGTTCTTGAGGTTGTGGAATCAAATAGCAATTGGATTGAATTGGCTGTGTTTTCACTGTGAACCTTGTTTTTCAGGACAGTCTGGATGTCATGAAGCATTATGGCTTATATTTCCTGTCAGTATACATGGATTAGAGTTTTACACTTTGTTAATTAGAGTTTTACACTCTGATAATAACATCCTCCTTTTCTGTGAGGTAAACTGTGAGTTTATTGAAGTAAACCATACATTTATTTTCAAGGTTAACATCTACTGTTAGTGATAAATATGATTGGGGTAACCTAATTTTATTGGTAGGCATTTTATTCACTGAACAAAAGAAATAAGTTTTTCAGACTTGGATATATAAAGAAAATGCTTTTTATTATGTAAAAGGAGACAGATTATAACCACAGATGCATTCAAAAGGTATAAAATTCGAAGAAACTTCTCAGCGATGGACTGTCATGGACAACCTCCAAAGCAGGCAGGGTTGATGAGCACTTAACAATTTTTCCTGGTCATTCGACACTTCAGTTTTTTGAGATGAAATAGAGTGAACTGTATATCTGAGCGGAGGCAGTTGGAAAGGTGAAATATTGCCAAAAACTGATCATTTCTGAGACTTGATTTTATGTATGGAAGATGTTGCCAGTTTGGGAAATTTTCTCGTACGTTTTCTGTAGGATAGACCTAAAAATCAAAATAACAGTTACTTGTTGAGTATATTGTTAGTGTTCCTTGTTTTGTATATGTGCAATCAGAAAATACATTCAAAAATGTACTGCTTCCATCAAAGGTATGGGTTTTCATTTATGTAGGCCAGGAGACTGTCCAGCAGTTCATCTTTTAGGAAGTATGATCAAGACTCATATATATTTGTTCTGATATGCAATGGCTCACAGACAAGTACTTCTTTTCACAAACACAGGAAAAGTAGAAAGTTTCACTTTGACTCTGAGACAGTGGAAGAGCTAGTGTCCTTTTCTCACTTAGGACACTCTTACATGTCATTTGCATATCATAGAAGTTGATATGCACCACATTTGTCTATACTAATCTATTTGCTTATACTTTACTAATTTGTTTCAAGTAAATTCATTTTCCATGAAGTTTATGAATGAAAATCTGACCTGTAATGCATACCAGATGGTGATTCAATAGATGAAGCCTAGGGATGACTATGTTAGAAGGAGCTGAGCTCTTTCACTCTATCCGAGACAAAAGTCCTCTAAGTGCTTAGTAGTGACAGGTGTGTTTAATTATGATCCCCACCATGATGGTGATGAGAAGCATCTTGAGAAGGTTGGAGATGCCAGCAATCTCATAGTCCAATCTAGTGAACACCATCCGTAAACTATTTTTTGTTGCTACTACATATTTGTGATTTTTGGAAATAGTCATAATAAAATACATGATATACAAGATATTTGATAGGCAACTGCCATGAAAGGGTCCTTAAACCCCCAGGGGAGTCATGACCCACATGTTGAGAACCACTGTGTTAGGAGAACATTATCCACAAGATCAGATATTTGCAAGTTAGTCTGGAAATCTGAGGTATATTCTTTTATTTTAATTTAGACAACCCACCTCTTCTATGAATGAGAATAAGTAATGGAAATTTTCTCACCTTAGTGAATATCCATCTAAGGTCTTCCAGGATTTCTCTGTTGTTCTCTTCAATCTCATTGGCTTTTGAAAGGATAGTTTCAGGAACATCGTCCATGGCACTCAGTTCAACCACCAGATGGTATAGAGGGGCATTCCAGGCACCCACAAAATTGATCAACATTTTTAAATATTTTTTGGTCTGCGCAAACATAATAGAACCATTATTTTATTGCATTGAATAATTTCAGTAAAGCAGGTTTTTTCATAAACCGCTCATGTGAAGAAGCTGAACTGAAACATATTTTTACTATGTATATCTGACCCATGTTGCAAAGATATTGCGTGGTGTGGAAAGGTAAAATTTAAACAATCCATCTATTATATATGAAAATGAAAATAATAATAATGCTTATAAATTAGTATTTTTTCAGAGATTAGGTCATCATGTTTTGTTCTTCCTATGAAATTCTAACAGCCTCTGCTGTAGTGAGGTATTTATTATTTGGTTATTTGTCTATCAATTGGTAAAACAGGTCGCTGGGACTCAATAGGCATCATTAAGATTTGACTTGAGGAAACTAGATATCACCAGACAGGGACAAGAAGCCCAAATCATTTTCAGTCAGGATTTCATGAACACCAAATAAATTATGGCATTCATTAATGTACAAATTTATGATTTCTATATAAAATTAAGAAATTAGAACAAAGATACAATGAAGAGAGCATGGTACTCATGCCTGGGCTTTCCTGTTGCCTCTGACAGAAAAGAATATTTGTTGCCATGTATAGGTTAAGAAGCATGACACAATATTGGATTTAATAATGGAATCAATGGAAATCACAACAGAATATTACCTCTGCAGTATTTGATGCTCATATCTGATTTAAGCCATTCACCTTATTGATGTTTGTTAGTTTCCCCAGTGGTCATGAAAAATGATAATAGGAATAAGAATATGTACATGGAATTAAGGAAAAGACCATTAAAATGGTAATGGAAATAGATGATGATAGATGCTGTCCTGTGATTCAGACTAAGATCTGCAACTGGTTAATGTGCCCACCTGGATTCTTAAATTCCACTCAAGTGTAAATATCTTGTACAGGTTTTCAAAACTGCTATTTATTATTATTATTTACTGAAGAAAAAAAACATTTCCCTGTAAACTATTTGTGAAGTTCAAATATAGCAATGCTAAGAGATTGCTTGTTGACAATCTAGCAAAATTCTATCTCTGAAGAAACATTTATTTTTCTTGATATCTTTATCCTCATTTTCCCTTATAGTTGTCATATAATATTCAACTTAAATAAAATCCTGTTATGTTATTATATGGACTCATAATAAGGAGATGTTTGCAATCACAAAATAGAACTGCTATGATATATAGACCTTATGACCATGAATTGGGGCATTGTTGCATACTTAGATAAATAATACTAGGAATTCACAGGACTATTCTGCTTATCTGGCTTTTGCTTAAGGTATAGAGAAAAATGAAGAGACAAAGAGAAATATAAAATAAATATAGAACCAGGACAGATTTAAAAATCAAGAATAGAAGTGATAGTGTTATTTAGAATGCCACCGTAGGGAACCAATTAACAACAGGTAATGAATACAGCTACATTTTCATCTATTACATAGGAGTGAGTATATAATCATAAACAGCCAATTTAGCTAAAAATGTCCTAAAAATAGTAAGTAAAATTTCAGTGTAAGTCATTTTTAAAATAGCTCTTTCTAAATGGACTATTTAAGAATCGTCTCCATTGTTATTGAATAATTGATTTTATTTATAATTTATCAAGAATATAATGTAATTTTTTGTATTTTATGTCAATTTAATTTTGTATACATTATTACTGCATTTATCATAATTCCTGTAAAACTAACACAGAAAAACACAGTGCACTGCTTCTGGTGTTTTGTGAGAAAATCATGAAGAAAACTCAACTTGATATTTTTTTTCTTTTTCAAAAACTTTTATTACAGTTTATTCACTTTGTATCCCAGCTGTAGCCCTCTCTCTCATCCCCTCCTTCATTCACCCACAATCCTGCCCTCCTTTCCTCTTCTCCTCCCACTCTCCTTCTCAGTCCACATGACAGAGGAAGTCCTCCTCCTCTTCCACTTACCCTAGTCTATCAGGTCTCATCAGGACTGTCTGCAATGTCTCCCTCTGTGGCCCTGGTAAGGCTGCTTCCCTACTCAGGAGGTAATGGTCAAAGAACCAGCTACTAAGTTCATGTCAGAGACATCCCCTGTTCCCTTACTAAGAAACCCACTTGGACACAGAGCTGTCATGGGCTACATATGTGCAGGGGATCTAGGTTATATCCATGAATGGTTCTTGGTTTGAGTATCAGTCTCAGATATTGTGGTTTAATTGGTTTCCTTGTAGAGCCCCTGTCTCCTCCAGGTCAATCAATCTTCCCCTTCTTTTATAAGATTCCCTGCACTCTACCCAAACTTTGGCTATGAGTCTCAGCATCTACTTTAATACCCTGCTGGGTAGAGTCTTTCAAAGGCCCTCTATGGTAGGCTCCTGTCTATTTCCAGTTTTCATCCTCTTCCAATGACTATTCCATTTGCCTTTCTGAATAAAGAGGATTGATCATCTTACCCTGGGTCGTCCTTCTTTTTTAGCTTCTTTAGGTGTACAGATTTTAGAATGATTATTCTGTATTATATGTTTAATATTCACTTATGAGTGTGTATATACCATGTGTGTCTTTCTGCTTATGGGATACCTCACTCAGAATGATCTTTTCTAGTTCCAACTATTTGCCTGCAAATTTCATGATTTCTTTGTTTTTAATGCTAGTAGTATTCCACTGTGTAAATGTACCACCTTTTCTTATCTATTCCTCAGTTGAGGGACATCTGGTTTGTTTCCAGATTCTGGTTATTAAGAATAAAGTTGCTATTAACATGATTGAGCAAATGTCCTTGATTTATACTCAATAATTTATACAGCAACAGAGAAGGTAGTCCAATTAAAAATGGATTACAAAGTTAAAAAGAATTCTCGATAGAGGATTATCAAATGGCAGAGAAACACTTAAAGAAATGCTTAATGTCCTTAGTCATCAGGGAAATACAAATCAAAACATCCCTGACATTTCACCATACACCTATCAGAATGGCTAAGATCAAAAACTCAAGTGACAACACATGCTGGATAGGATGTGGAGAAAGGGGAACCCTCCTCCACTGCTGGTGGGAATGTAAACTTGTACAATCACTTTGGAAATCAATCTGGTGCTTTCTCAGACATTTACAAATAGTGCTACCTTAAGATCCCTCTATACCACTCCTAGGCATATATCCAAATTATGCTCAAGTACACAACAAGGACATTTGCTCACCGGAATATATGTGTGTTCATTTCCCGGATATGGAGGATTTGTGATCTTGGCATGGCAGTGAGTTCTGGCACTGAGACTAGGATAATCCTCCCTCAACAATTTTATAAGCTGTAAAAAACCCAAAATCAGTTATTTTTCAAAATTATATAAATGACTTCATTAACATATTAATGCATTTGTTGGTTATATAAATTTTCAACATAAAACTTCATAAAAACATATTAAAAAATTAAGAAACTTCCCATCAACTAATACTTAGTCTCATGTATGTGCATCTTAATTTGGCTTTTCACCCAACTTTTTTCACCCTGTCTTCTTATTCTCTTGCCTTCCCACTTTTTTTAAAAGTTACTATATGGAAGGCAAACACTGAAAGAACTAAACTTCTCAAGAAATAAATGATGTAGTTGTCATTTTTCTCTAGTATTTCAGGACAAAACTATAGCACATACTTATTAATCTTTCTGCTTTCTGTCTATAAAGACTGGTATTAACTTACTCAGGTATAAGAATTTTGAATTCATTAATTGAACATTGAGTATATAGCTGTGTAATATAAAGATTATAATAGTTTTAGAATGAAACTTTTTACTCTGTTACAAAATTACTCATGAAAATAGACTATTTAAAATAACTATATAACTCCAAGTCAACAAAATAAGAAAACATTAAATTTATTTAGTTCATTAGTGATTGTATGATCAATGAAATATTAAATTTTATTAAATATATAAC